AAAAATTAATATAAAAAATTTATAAAAATAAAATTTTTAATTTAACATTTAATTTTTAAAATATTAATTAAAAATTAAGCTTTTAAATCAGCACTTCAAAAGAAAAAATTTAAGAGAACAGCACGCCTTACACTATTCATTTTTACGGTGTGCTTGATTTGAGGGAAAAAAAATAGAAAAGGAGGTTTCCCTTCTACCTGTTACATATATATATAGGTATTTTTTATTTATATTATATAATAATATTTTTTAATATATTATTATGTACAAAAAAAGGGATGCATGTGGGTACCGTTTTAATGCTTGAAACATAGAGTAATGTCAAACCAAGGAAGAAAGAGAAAAAGATAAAGATAGAAAAGAAGTGGTTGAATTTTTTTTGGTAATTGTTTTATCTAAAAATTTAAAGTGGAATTTGAGATGAAAAAAATTATCTCAAATAGACAACAATATTTGAAATATTATCTTATATAAATATTAGATATAAAAAAGTTATAATTCTTTAAAAAGTTGTATATGTTTTGTATTGATGTAAAAATCACCCGCGAGGGGTTGTAAATAAATAAAAAAGTACAGTCCCATAAATAGATTAATTTTTTCTTTTCTTCTTCTTTGAATTTTTGTACTCTGCTCTTCAAATTTCAGTACATTAGTTGGATGATTAAAATTCATTTTTAGTGAGCATTGTATCATGAGGATTTCCTATATAGGAGTAAAAACTATTATATTTAAGAAAAGGTTCCTAGAACTATCTTACCCACAATAATTGTATGTACAACTTTCTGCATACAACAATTTAAGGATAATAGATGTTCCAAACGGATGTCCAGAATGTGGAACAATTTCTATTTGTTCCATGAGAACAAAATATTTAAAGATGTTAGAAACAAAAAAGAAAGAGAAATATTTGAAGAAAAGTTTATTGCTTTCTTAAATAATACTGGATGTATAATGACCCATATATAGGTGTTTGTAAAGAGAATATTCTAAGATATAAAGTATACAAAGAGAATAATCTAGAGTATAAAATATTTACAATAAATATGTTCACATCTTAACATTCCCCCTCAAAGTCATGGTGGTTATGATGAAATCAACTTGGATTTGGAAAGAAGAGTTTGGAAGCGTGTGGGGAAGTGAGCCTTGGTAAACAAATCAACAGGCTGATAAGTAGAACTAATGAAAATCAAACGAACAGTTCCCTTTGCAAAATGATGACAAATAAAGTGACAATCAACCTCGATATGCTTTGTATTGTCATGGAAGACATCATTGTGAGCAATCTATATAGCACTTTGATTATCATAATATAAATCAGTAGAAGAAGGTTGAGGAATGCCCATATCTTCAAGAAGCCATCGTAATGAAAGAAGTTCTGATTTAGTATCACCAAGAGCTCTATACTCAGCTTCAGTACTAGAACAAGATGGAATAGTTTGTTTCTTATTCCGCCAAGAGACACAAGAATTACCAAGGAAAAGACAGTAACCGGTGGTAGATCTATGATCAGAAGGATCACTAGCCCAATCAGCATCAAAATAAGCACGAAGCATAAGGGAGAAGTTAGTAGAAAAATGGAGTCCATGAAACAATGTTTCCTTAACATAGCAAATAATGCAAAGTACTGCTGCATAATGAGTGGAGCGAGGAGTAGCCATAAACTGACTAACCATGTGAATTGCATATGCTATGTCAGGGCATGTCATGGTAAGATAAACCAAACTACCAACCAATTGTTGATAGTGAGTAGGATCAAAAAGTGGAGAGCCATCCATAGGTGTAAGCTTGACATTAGGTTCAAGAGGTGTAGAAACACTCTTACTATCATTGAGTTCGGCTTTATAAACAAGATTAGAGGCATACTTTACTTGAGAAAGTAGGTAGCCATCATATGAAGAGGTGACTTCAAGCCCTAGAAAATAACTTAGACCACCAAGATCTTTCATCTTAAATTTTTGATTGAGAGATTGTTTTAGCTCCTCAACACCTGTAACATCATCTCTAGTAATAATCATGTCGTCAATATAAAGAAGTAAAAGAACCATACCCTAAGCAGTCTTACGAATGAACAGAGTTGTATTATATGGATTGGAAGTAAAACCAAACTCACTCACAGTAGCACTAAACTTTGCATATTAGCCTCGAGGGGATTGCTTCAACCCATATAATGCACGTCGCAATTGACATACCTTGTTTGGAGGATGGTTAAGCCCAGAAGGTGGTTTCATATAAACTTCTTCTTCTAGGTCACCATTAAGAAAAGCATTTTTCACATCCATCTGAAATAATTTCCATCTTGTATAGCAGCAATAGCAAGCAAATTGCACACAGATGTGAGACAAGAAATTGGAGCAAATGTTTCCTCATAATCTATTCCATACTCTTGTGTAAAACCCTTGACAACCAAGCGTGCCTTATAACATTCCACAAAACTATCAGATCGTGTTTTGATCTTGTACATCCATTTACAGCCTATCAAAGACTTTTCAACAGGGAGATCAACTAAATCCCATGTACAAGTGTTCTCAAGAGCCTATAATTCATCTTGCATAGCTTGTTGCCAAAGAGGGTTAGAAGAGGCCTCTTGATAGGATTGAGGCTCATGTAAAAAAGTAATAGCAGGAAAATAATGATAATCATGAAGGTAACTGAGAAGGTTTCTTACCCGAGTAGGATGACTCGAGGATGGGACAATAAGCTCATTTGCAGACTCAACATTATCATATATAATATCAACATGTGATCTAGATGAGGAAGTAGAAGAAGGCTCAGAATTATCTCATGCAATACCAGTAGGTAGATCATCTTCTACAGAACTAGTTGGAGCATGTGGTGAGGTATTGTAGAGCTCATGAGATGTACCTACATCAGAATCACTAGGAAAAAGCTCAATAAAAGGATTAGTAAAAAATGGAGGTGGATGAGAGGATGACACTTTGAAGTTTGACAACGATGAGAACATAGTGTGTTTTCAAAAGACAACATGACATGAAACTCGGAGTTTTTGTGACACAAGATCCCAACAACGACATCCTTTTTGTGTAATCCCATAATCCAAAAAATATCATAATCGAGCTCTAGGCTCTAACTTGTTATGGTCATGAGATGAAAGAAGAACAAAACATGTACAACCAAAAACCTTAAAAAGATTATAGGTAGGAAGAATACCATGTAAACGCTCATATAGAGACTAGTTATTAAGGACTGATGATAGAATGCGATCAATAAGATAAACAGTTGTAAGAGTAGTTTCACCCCAAAATCACTCTGGACAAGAAGATGAAATGAGTGAAGCACGAACAGAATCAAGGATGTGTCTGTGTTTGCGTTTGGCTCGCCCATTTTGTTCAAAAGTGTAAGGACAACATTGTTGTGTCATGTACCCTGTTTTTTTTAGAAAGGATTAAAGTTTAGTACCAAGATATTCAGTAGTATTATCAGTTCTCAAAACTTTGATAATTTTAGAGAATTGAGTTTTAACCATGGTAGCAAAATCAATATAAATTTGTCATAATTCAGAATGATTTTTCATAAGGTATATCCAGGTAAAACAAGTATAATCATCAATAAATAACATGAAGTACCTGGAACCCCCCATGGTAGGCGTAGGAGATGGACCTCAAACATTAGAATGCACGAGATCAAAAGGAGCGGTAGAATGAGAATGACTACTTGAAAACGATAAAGCTAGTTGCTTTGTAGATTGACATGACACACAATGCAAGGATTCATTTGGAACATATCCTAATAAACCACGAGAGATAAGTGGATGAAGTTTACTGACTGAGATATGTCGAGCCATGAGTGCCACAAATGAAGAGGAGAAATGTTAGTAGCAACACAGGCTTGGAAGATTTGTTGATATGGAATATGAAAGACTCTAATTCAACAACACAAAGTAGGGTTTGGATGAATCGATCGTTTGGAAATGATGGTGTATCCATTTTATTATTAGGATTATGCAAATAGTTGAGCTTAAACAAACGCCCCACCTTGCGACTAGTTTCGTGAAGTTGTCCTATCCGTGGGTCTAGCACATGAAAACCATGAGTAGAAATTGTTATTTCAAGACCAAGATCACATAATTGACCAACAGATAGAAGATTATAACTAAGTTTTGAAACTAAGAGAGCACTTTGTAAAGTATGACTTTGTAGAAATATTGCCAATGTAACTAACATTCATAGGGGAACCATTAGCAGAATAAATATTAGGAAAGGAATTATTTGGTGACATTGAAGAGAAATGAGTACTAATTGAAGACATATGGTTACAACAACCAGAATCAAAATACCAAGGTTCTGTACCTAGAGTAGTAGATAAGGCAGTAGGAGCATTAAAAAGATTCAATGTCACCTGTTTTAGGGATTCAAGATTGACATTAGATTGATCTATCACTTCTTTGGCAACCATAGTAGTAGCTGGATGAGTTACGGTCCTTTTAAAACTCGCCATAGAATCAATAAAACTCACAATATTGAAAAACTCTAAAAATATGAAGAAATAGGTGCCAAGATCGAAATAACAAACCAACAAAAAATACCTCAGAAAGGGCTTGAGAATCGAGGATAAACAATCTAATTTGGAGGAAAAGAGATTCCACCGACAAAGTTTCAAATCTAGAATGGATTTGAAAATCCAACTCCAAAAAAACCAAACAACGATGATAAGAAAAAAGAACCAGAGGCTTATTGCTCTAACACCATGTTAGAAACAGAAAAGAAAGAGAAATATTTGAAGAAAGGTTTATTGCTTTCTTGAATAATATTGTATGTACAATGACCTATATATAGGTGTTTATAAAGAGAATATTTTAAGGTATAAAGTATACAAAAATAATGTTCTAGAATATAAAATTGTGTTCACATCTTAACAAAAGAGAAAAGGATATTTACTACAAAGGTCAGGATGCAAATTTTCAGTCAAATGACAAATTGCGATGGTGTTGATCTCTGTCAAGAATCACAAATAAGCATTGTAGTTTCGATGGCTAAACCACAATTTGCCAAATCAGGAATGGCATTATCATCATTGCTTTTATGGATTGATAGCAGTGCCTTATATATATCATTGAAAAATGGAAAGGATTTGCAGCAAGTCAAGATATAAATTAATTCTTGAAGCACAAAGAAAATAGAGGGTCACATACCCCTGTACTGTCTGTACAAGGTGCTGATCATGGTAAAGATCTCTTGCTAATTCGCAAGAACCCACCAAATTAAATCGTCACAGCAATGATACTGTTATTGATTTTGAAAATGGGCCTCATACATAGTAGTTGATTTAAATGGAATATTTCTTGGAGAAGAATTCGGCTGATACATTCATGAATTGCTATATATAATGCTACAAGGAAGGTTGAATCAAGAGTTGCGATTAAGAATTGTTTTGCATGTCAATAAAATGAAGCATGGAGAGGATTAAAGGTAACTTATCCAAGTGATGTTTCATCCCAAAATTAATAGCCTTCGGTCAAGGGGTTGTTATAGCATAACTTTAGGTGTCAAATCCATAGGGAAGTTATATTAAACCAACAAAAAGAGTTATCACAATAAAAAATTAAATTAAAAAATGAATTCTAAAATTGATAATTATAGAAGATTGAAAACAATATTATCATGAACAAGATTTTAGGATTCACTTAATTAATTTATTCAACTGTTATAAAATTTGATTTCTATTTATTATTCAATTATATGTTTCACATCCTAAACAAACAATCAAAAGATTTAAATTTGAAAACCAATAATAATAACTTATGTATTTATTTTGAGAGAAATTAATTTTAATGAAAAAAAAACTGATTTATCATTATGAGCTATCCGAGAGTAACAATATATCTAATTGACAATATTGCAGTAAAAGATCAACCAGCAAAACAAATCTATCAATCAATTATATTATAACAAATTCCACATAAAAAGAACCTGACTAATCTTATATGAAATTTGATGAATATAAATTTTAGGGTTTTCAAATATGAAAATAATTGATAATCTCTTAAAAATAAAATTAAACAATAAAATTTATGAAGGAATCAAAATAAAATAACAAGTTAAATTCTTCAATAGAGATCCTCCCTAATCTTTGTTTTTTGACATAATTCCTTAACCCTAGAAAAGAAGAAAATAGAAGCCTAGGAACAACCTCTCGAGCCTCTTCAATTCTAAATTCTAAACTTGGATGAATATTTATAAGATTTTAGAAACCCTAATTATAATGCTATGGAACCCACATCTTTGGTTGATAAATCACACAAGGGATTGACACCCTCAACAAAGTGCTCGTACCTTGAGTGAAGCGCTAACAGAATACTTCATGTCGGGTTTTTGGCCTTTTGTGCAATTTTGGTTAATGGCAGAATTACAGTCGTGGTTCCTAACGCTTGGATTCTGCGCAAGTTGATCATAATATTTGTGATCTATCTTTGCAATTTGCTCCTTAATCAAAAATGGAGAAAATCTCACTTAAGCCTTCAAACTTCTAAATTTGATCCTTGGATCCTCATCTTTCTAGCTCTTTGCATTCAAGTCCTTTCTTCTAATTCTCTTCATTTAACATCAAACTTTCAATCAATACAAAATTTGCACAACATGAATAAAATGAACAATTATGAAATTGCTTGTAGAAAATAAAACTCTTAACCCATAATTCCATAAATGTTAATGGTTAACCACACTTTAAATATGTATTTTCATGCTTTCATCACCAAGCAATTTGAATCAAAGTTGTAAATTGGAGATACATTTTCTCTCAAAAATATGGTCAGGAAATTTTGGTATGTTTCAAGAACTTTTCTTGCATTATATTGCAGTAGTTTTACTATATGTTTTTAATTAGTTCTTGTGAAATTATGAATCGACTATATTAAGTAAATATTTTTGAACTTATACTAAAAAAGAAAAAATACAATTGTGGGGTTTTCTGTAAATAGATGCGTCACCACAATTGCATGATATTATGTGCCTTTGGTTTAGGGTAACAAGAATGCATGGTGAAACTTAATTCCTAAATACTAATAAATGTTTATAGTTTAGGAATGCATTGCCTCAAGGATGATTTGATTGATATGCTTACTATTTTCACTAAAAGAGGTAAGACAATAAAAGAAATAAGTATCATTATTGAGGATGATATGTTTGCTATACTTACAAATTTGAGAATTTCGCTATGTCATTAGCATTGAAAAAATCTTGAGGAAAGATTCATAAGTTGTGTTCCTTTGAGAGGGCCCATCTCATCTCAAGTCATAGCAAACTCATTGCTATATAATCTTATGAGAAGTATTGTGAAAAATGAGAAGGTAGAATATCTATCTATTAAACAAATAATGTTGATTGATCCCATAATAAAACCTTTAAATGAGAAAGGTTGAATAAGATTTGAAGAGGTCTAGGATTACTACAGCTAAGGTGGAGTAGTCATGTTTGAAACCAACTTCATCACTTTGATGTTGACATAAAAACGTGTTTTTAATCAACAATTGGGTGCATAGAAGTTCAATGGCAATTCACTCATGAATTACTCAAGAAATGTTAGCACAAGGTGTACATTTCCAATGTAGTTTTTAAGGAATAGTGGGGTAATGAAATAAATAAATAAATAACTATTCTTTTAAAGTCCTCTACCTAAACAAATGTATTGTTTATTTACAATAAAATAGGTTGAACATTAAAGTTCTTAATAGACTTATAGCTAACTCTAGTGGAATGAAAGTTGTGAATATTCTTGATGAGTCTACCTATGCAAGTAAGAAGATTAGAGGCTGCCTTCTATAGATTACACTGGTTAATCTTAAGGTACTTGCTAGAACAAGATTAGCGCAAGGCCCTTTGTTTTTATAAACACGCTTGTCATGATAGAACTTTAAACCCATGTATAATGTGAATATGGTTCCTTAGTGATTCATGTTCAATCTAAAGGTTCCAGCCTTGGCTACTTTTGGACATGCATTATACAATACCAGAATACTTTATAATATTATTAGGAAATAAGTGGGGGATTGTCACATATATATATAGGTATTTTCTACTAATATATTTCTTATTCACATTATATAATATTTTATAATATATTATTATATATATACATCACTTTTAAGGGATGCATGTGGGTATGGCTTTAGTGCTTGAAACATGGAGCAATGTCAAAACGAGGAAGAAAGAGAAAAAGATAAAGATAGAAAAGGAGTGTTGAACTTTTAATAATTGCTTTATTTGAAAATTCAAAGTTGAATTTAACATGGAAAAAATTGTCTAAATGAGTATAAATATTCAAAATATTATCTAATATAAATATCAGATATAAAAGAGTCATAATCTTTTGAAAAGTTGTATATGTTTTAAATCGTATAAAAGCCACCCGTTGGGACTTGTAAATAAATAAAAAAAATACAGCCCCATAAATCTTCTTCCTTAAATTTTTGTACTTTTCTTTTCAAGTTTCAGTAGACCGGTTGAATGATTAAAGTTCATTTTTAATGGGTATTGTATTATAGGATAACATTTCCTATACAAAGGCAAAAACTATTATTTCTAAGAAGAGTTCTTGAAATTGCTTTTCCCACAATAATTACATGTACATCTCTCCGCATACAAAAATACCTTCCCCATGTCTTAGATGTTAAAAAGATGCAAAAAGTGAAAATCCATCTCACATTTTTATTGGACCGTAAAGACAGTGGAGCTTGCTAGCGCAGGTGAGAAATCTTGGTTTTTACGTGAAAGCGAAATTGGTGGGTGTGACTGAATTTATTAATTCAATTTTCTAGGCAAGAAAATATATAAAGAATTTTTTTATTTTGTATTTTTAAAATATAAAATAAATATACAATAAATATATTTTTTACAATCCTACTTATTTCGCCGTTATATATTCAATTTTCTCTCTCTCAATCAACGATTTCTCTCTTTAATATACGAGCTTTGAATACAGTAGTACTTGTGCATTAGTGCTTGACTCATGTTTTTCCTAATATTTATATCCACATATAATTGAGAGGGTACCAGTTCGCTCATTTGGTTCTAGAGAAGAAACAGGCAGCTGAAATTGCATCTCTTCAAATGACAGGGGGTTTCAGCTGGGAGAGTATACTTGAATATGTATCCAGTTACAGCCCCCTGGACTCCGGCGTTGATTCGGCCTGCGCTGGTTTTGCGAGCACTGGTTTCGCCCTCTCAGGTGTTGTTAATATTGCTAAGCCTTAGACTCACCTTCAAAGAAACGAAAATTGAGGTGTACATATATATATATAAGTTTGCAATTAACCTTATTTTCCACTCTGTTGTGTGTACATTACAGCTTTACTCTCCGGCTACTCGACTGCAAAATATGGATATTTAGGGTACTTGGTTTTGTTCATCCAAAGGCAAGGAAAGCTCGGCCTCAGAACTTCAGTGATCTTTGCGAATTTCCAAAAAGGATTAGGAGCACTTTTTCGCCTTTTTTTGGTATACATGGCAAAATTCCGCATGGGTCTCGCCAGAATGACTCTCTACACCTATGCAACTTTCATCTCTGTGAGTTCTTTTTTTTCTAGCTGCGTCTTTAATACCGTGGTATAAAAACAGGTGTGCCTCAGCCTTTTCACCTCTCTGAGGTTTGGGATATTTGTGTTTCGCTCTCTGAATGAGGTACAGAGTTGCATTTCACACCTTGTGTTTTTCTTACTCCGTTGGCTACTAGGTTAATTGATAATTAATTCTTAATGAAAATGTTCTGCTAATTATAAATATATATAATAATTGATTTTTTTTTATACATGATGCTTGTTCAGTAATCTCGTTTTGATACAAAAGTTTTCAATTATTACTTATATATTATAATAAAATATTATTTAAAAATATATGAAAAAAATGTCAAATCTTTATATTTTTAAACTGAGAGAAGGTAAAAATTTCTTTGAATAGAAATGTAGATCCCAAACGTGAATTATACCCACGGAAAATTGAACAAAAAGTGGAAAATTACTGATATTAAAGAAATCCGACAATTAATTGATTGTCAATTCTTCCTTTTTTTTAATGGAAAATTGAATTTCAATTCTCATCGTAGGGTTCTCAGCTATTGTGGGTTAGTCCATCCAAGAGGAGCTACCGTCGGCTTTTTCTTGTTGCACAGCTATCAACGCTGGGAGCGGGTTACGCTGGTGAAGGTTCTACAAGTTACGTTTTCCAGACTCAACTTGTAAAAGCCGAGCAAAAGTCACTGGAAAAGCCAGTGAACAAGGACCCGCCAACAACAATAGTTCAACCTCCGAAGAAAATTTGCGAAGGAGGAACCAACGGAACAATGACCAGACCAGGATGTACATGTTATTATTGGGATGATTGGTTAGTTGGGTGTGTAGGACCAGCTGCACCTGCAAGAGAAAGTTGTGTATGCCTTCTACAATACAAAGGGAATCCGATACCGAATGGGCCAGAGATTACGGAGATCTTACTAGAAAACAATCCGCCACCAAACCGGGATGGAGAATCAGAAGCAGAGACGAACGGTCAACCGGACACAAAGAAACAGATACCTCCTGTGTCAATACAGTTACAGCAGGAAAATGCGAGAAAAATGAGGAATCGTATAAGAAAAAAGTTGTTTGCTGCTAAACTTCCAGGGACAATCTTGGGTACGGTGCTTGCAGCAGTGTTTTCTACCGAAGTTTTCATCAAGATTTCAACAGCAGTGACGGTAATCAGTTATAATTTGTTCTTCTGGATGGGTGCTCAATATTACGACCTTGGCGAAATGGAGAATTATGATATAACGGATGAAAACAAATCTGGAGAAATGGAGAAACATGATAAAAAGGATGAAGAGAAAATTGATGGAAGGGATGAAAAGCAAAATCCGGATGCCCTAGTTCCAGAGTTAAAGAAAGCAGTAGAAGCGGTTCGAAAGCTATTAACTTTATGGCTAACATTCGCATCTACATGTTATCTGGTTAATGCAACAGCTGATTCTTTATTCATGGAACAAGTTGATTATCTAGAAAACAATACCGAAAGCTTCAAGATTCCCAAATCCGTTTTCTATTCCTTCCCGGATGTTGTCTCCATCATAACCGGGCAGGTGAGCGATTATCTAGTCGAGCAGTTCCATGATAAAGAGAAAGAAGCGCGGTGGGCTAGGCTCCTCAGAATCAGCATTGGTATGCTTTTTTCCTCTTTGTGTTGCATATTAGCTTCTCTTGTTGCTCACAGATTGGATTCCAATTATAATTCTGCCAGCATGTTGTGGCTTCTGCTCCAGTTTCTTCTGTTGGGAATGATGAAAGGAATACTGGAAGAAGGGTTAGAAGAATTTCTCC